TGTAAAGGGAGACAGAGGCAACCCTACTGTGGGGCCTGGGAGAACATCTCAGTCAGGGCCTCCTGGATGCACACCCCATCGTGGTGCACCTGGCGGATGGCAGCTGTGCGGGGCTGATCGTAGGCTTGGCCCTCGCCTACCATCCATGCCGGGAGGAAGGCCTCCCCCCTCCGCTCCATGACATTGTGGTGCACACAGCACGCGGTCACTACCTCCGGGACATTCTGCTCACCCATCTCCAGACGTGTGAGCAAAATAGCGCTCCACTTGGTTGTGGGCCCTGTTGAGGTGGTCGTTGAACTGGGCCCGGTTGTGGTCCGGCTGCATCATGTAGGGCTGCATTAGCCAGGGCAGCAGGGGGTAGGCCGCATCCCCCACAATACACGTGGGCATTGGCACATCCCTGACAGTAAATCCCTGCTGGGGGAAGTAAGTGCCCGCCTCCAGCCTGCCAAATAGGCTGGAGTTGCGTAGGATGCAGGCATCATGTGCCCTGCCGGACCAGCCCGCATAAATGTCCAGTAAGCGGCCACGGTGGTCTATGAGGTCCTGGAGTAAAATTGAGAAGTACCCCTTTCTGTTTATGAAATGGGCCTCTCGATGCTCCGGGGCATGGGCAGGGATGTGGGTTGCATCCAGGGCTCCCCCACAGTTGGGGAATCCGAGGGCAGCAAAGCCGGCCACTGTAGCCTCCATGTCGCGCAGGCGGATGAGACTTGGGAGCAGGACGTCATTGATGGCATGGACAACCTGCAGAAGGGTGCAGAGAAACACGGAAACACATCACATAAGGCAGGGTGAGTGCATGCTCCCTTGTCCCCCCCCCCTTCCCATGATGTCCTCTGTCCTCACACACACACACACGCACCAGGGCCCCCATGCCCCATGTTCCCCTCCCACCAGCAGGCCTGTGCAAGGGAGGGACGGTCCAAACCCCCGGGTGACCCAGCCTGGAGTCTTGGCTGCCCCTGGGCATGGAGTGCAACACCCTCTCCCCACGCACTCTCCCCCCCCCTCCCTGGGACTTACCTGCATACCGACGGTCGATCTACCCACCCCGAACTGGTGTGCCACCGATTGGTAGCTGTCCAGGGTGGCCAGCTTCCATACTGCGATGGCGACCCTCTTGTCCACCGGGATGGGTGCCCGCAGCCAGGTGGTGGTTCTCTGGAGCGCAGGGGCGAGCCAGGCACACAGCTCCAGGAACATCCGCTTTCGCATGTGAAAGTTCTGGAGCCATTGCTGGTCGCCCCATTGCCTCAGGACCAGCCGGTCCTACCAGTCGGTACTGGTGTCCAGTCTTCACAATAGCTTCTCCACGCTGGGGTGAGGATGGCACAGGGACGCCATGGCCTTTCTGGTGAGGGAGTCCAGAGCGACCTGTGCCTTGAGGTCCTGGACGAGGACTGCAGCAGCCTGGAGCAGCAGCTGCAGGCACTCCAAAATGGCGGAAAGAGCCAGAGTAGGCACATAGCCACCCCTGGCTCCATGGCACAAGAAACAAGCTAAGATAAAAAAATCAGCCAAAGGCACTAAAGGCACAAGGCAGTGGTGTCCAAAAAGGCAGAGGGCAACCACAAATGGAACTGCTACGGGTGTCAGTCCCTGCAAGAGGTCCTGTAGCACGCAGCAGGAGAGAAACGGCTGTCCGGGGAGATGCCTTTAAGCACGTGTCTCAAAGGAGCTCCAGCCCCCGCCCCTGGAAAGGGCTGCTGCCTTTTTGCCCTCTTCAACATGGTTCCGGGTTTCTGCTTTTGTGCAAAAGCGTCCCGCCAATGTAGACGCGCTTTTGCGCAAAAGCGCATCATTCTTACGATGAGTCCCAGACCAGTATAGACGCTTTCTTGCGCAAATACTTTTAACGCAAAAACTCTTGCATTAAAAGTATTTGCGCAAAATCATGCCAGTGTAGACGCAGCCACAGTGTTTTAATATCTTGTGCTGCAAAGAGTCACAGACACACATTAATGAGCCACATGTAGTTCATAAGCTGCAGCCTGGATTTCACTAGACTAGAAGTACAAGGCAATGGCCAATATGGGTACCTGAAATTAGGCTCTTGAATCCATATTTAAGAATCTAAATAAAATGCCTTTTCAAAGGTATTGATAAACTCCAAATTCTGAAAGTGCCAATGATCCAGCTGCTCATTGATTTCAGAGGGAGCTGAGTTTGCTCATTACCTTTAAAACATTTCTAGCTAGTTCTTAAATACAGTTTCAGCTGTCCGTCTTGAGTCAGATTTGGCCAGGATGTACAAATTATTCCTTTTTAAAATTGTTTTGGAAATGTGTCATTTTTGGTAAAAGGGCAGGGTTCTAGGTTCTGTGTACCTGATCTGGTGCAAACAAATCTGATGCCCGTTCTTATTTTAGTTTTTTTCAGCACACAAAGCTATGGTACCAATTTGGGTCATTTCTTCTGCTTTAAATATTAGTTGTGAAGGAAAAATGAATCCTCATTTCATGGAAAGATTAACAGAATGAATATATATAAATTGTGCTGCATAAAAAAATTGTAACTTACTGTAATGGTAAAAGAGCATCATATAAATAGTAGCCCAGTGTCTGAGAGTCTGTAACGCCGAAATGCTGGCTGTTCCCTGTGGGGGGTGCTGTTGCCTGAAATGTTGGCTGTTCCCTCTAGGGGGCGCTGTTGCCTGAAATGTTGGCTGTTCCCTCTGGGCGGCCCGTGCTGCATGGGGAGTGCGGGGCCCAAACAGCCGCTTGCTCCCCCGTGGTGGCCCGGCTGAGCAGCGCAGAAGTCATCTGAGTGCCACAGTGAGAGGGGAAGGGAGGCGGGGCGGTGACGTGTGGCGTGAAAGCGGCTCCAGGCCCCACCCTCTGGCTGTGAATGTCACCTCCCCGCCCCCCTTCGCCTCCCGCCATGGCGCTCGGCTGACTTCTGCGCTGCTCAGCCAGGCTGCTGCGTGGGAGCAAGTGGCACAAGCGACCGTTTGGGCTCCGTACCCTGCATGAGGCACGGGGAGTGCGTAGCCTAAACGGCCATTTGGGCTCCATGGTCCCCCAAGTGAGAGGCAGGAGGTGGAGGAGAGCTGAGAGAGAGGGGGGGAGGCAGTAGGAGGAGGAGAGAGAGAGAGAGACAGAGCGAGAGACCGGAGGCTCAGGAGAGAAGATCGACGTGGAGGAGAGACCTGAAAATCCCGTCTTATGACGGGCTAATTGGCTAGTTGCATTAGAAACACATAATGCTACCAATTCTAGTATATAACAGCATGAAGGAATGATTGTACTGTAATTTCCCAGAGAAATGTATAAACAGTAGTATTCTTTCAATGAGCATCAAAGGCCCCCTTCTGTGAGAATGCAACACCATTGGTGTTGAGTATTCTTACCTCTCACAGGATTGAGGCTGATGGGCACTTCTGTGATAATCAGACAAACATCTGATCCTACTCTTTTAGCCTCTTGTTAATTTCTACTGGAGTTGGTGTGAGTTTAGCATTATTATTATGCATTATATGTATTAGAGTACTACCCTTAGATTTCAATGTTCAAAGCTAAGCACCATTCATATGGGTGTGTATTCCTGATCTGTGACTGGGGCTCCTAGATGCTTCTGTAACACAAATAATATTAATTGAATGTTTTCAGCATTGGGGCCTAAAGTAGTAAAGGGTTTTGTTTATGAAATCAAGAAAGGAAGTATACTTACTGGTCACTTACTAATTAGGGATGTTAAAATATGTGCTGAAATTTTCAGCAGTTACACATTTACGTGCAATGGGGAGGGAGGTAAGAGCCAGCTTAAAAGCAAGCTCCCCGCAAATACCAGCTCCTGATTCCCTCTCGCTGCGCTGCTGCCTCTGTATGAGTGGCAGGACAGGGCAGGAGAGCAGGTGGTTCTGTATCAGTGGCAGCAGTGCAGGAGTGGGGGGGCTGCATGTAACCATATGGGTTAATCGATACACCCATGCTCATTGGTTAACCATGTACTTTGGTACACATTCACCTCCCTATTAGTAATAGTCAAAAACTTTTTGATAGAGATAGATTAGGAGTGATTTAGTACAGCTAAGGTTTGAAGAATGCCATTAAACTGCTCTGCTGCATCACTCGCTATATATCATGGTTGGGCAAGAGGTGGCTAGTGGCCTGGATTCAGCCCTCCAAGCCACCGGAGCCAGTTTACCACAGACCAGCCCCAGCCACTTTAAACAACAGGCAGCTAATTGCTATGCACTCTGGGCAGAAAAGAGAAAGCTTCGCGCGCTGTCCCCACCTTCTAGCAAAATCCCTCAGCTCCCATTGGCTGGTTTCCAGCTAATAGGAGATGACAAATTTTGCTGAAGGCAAGGATAGTAAATGAAGCCCCTTCCCCCACCCCCATTCCCTCTCTTCCTCCTTTCCTCCCTGTGCTGGAACATAGCCACGTGGAGCAGCACACGGGCAGGGAGGTTCAGGTTGCTGCAGAGCTGCTGACTGAGCCTGCCTCTGGCACCTCACCTTCTTTCCCCTACCAACTAACTGCCCCAGGCTACCACTCAAACCCTCTGTATCCCCTCTCCCAAGCTCCTTCGGGTCATAACTCCCCTCCCAGACCCTGCACCCCTTCCTACACCCCACCCTCAGGCCAGAATCCTTTTATGCACACAATTACCCCTCCGTGACCCTGCACCCTATTCCCCTGCCCCAAATAATAACTCACTCCTTCACGCAAACTCCCTCTCAGACCCCACACTCCCTTGTGCATCCCAGTTCTCTATCCTAAGCTCCTTTCTATAACTTTTTTCCATTGCTATATATTCTATTCTATTCAAATTTATTGTGTTTCCCTTTTAGATCTTTATTTGATACACTGGCCAGATGCACAAGTTCCTGGAAAAAGTAATCGTGAAGTCCGAGCTGAAACCTGGAGAGCCATGGAGGAATTATATGAGAAAGGTAGGAGGACTGTGAAAAATCACAGTTTGTAAGAGGGACTGCAACATATTTAAATTATATATTCTATTCTATTCAAATTTATTGTGTTTCCCTTTTAGATCTTTATTTGATACACTGGCCAGATGCACAAGTTCCTGGAAAAAGTAATCGTGAAGTCCGAGCTGAAACCTGGAGAGCCATGGAGGAATTATATGAGAAAGGTAGGAGGACTGTGAAAAATCACAGTTTGTAAGAGGGACTGCAACATATTTAAATGTTCAGGAATCCAATAACATTGTGATAGAATAGGATTTTTTAAAGTACCCAACAAAGTTAGGTACACAAATCCCATTGTCTTTCTGTGCAATTTGAGTGCATAACCCATTGGTGCAAGTTTATATATCCCAGCCTTACATAATATTATCAATTTGCCAAATTAAACAAAAAGAGTTTTCTGCTGCTTAAATATCATATTGTGGTCTTGAAGAAGTAAATTCTGTTATCTATGATTTTTTGAGATGATCTATAGAATATAGACAACAGAATATTTTGTGCTGTGCTCCAATTTGTATAAGTTCAGAGCCATGCCATCTAATTTAACTTCCCTTTGAAGTTTTTTTTTTTAAATGTAAGGTGCTGTTTCTCTTTTACATAGAGTTGCAGTAGTTGGTGGATCTTTGTTGACTGTGGTTTAGAAAAGGTCAACTCTAGCAAGCTGTTTGGATGAGGAACAGAAATTAAGTTGTAGGGTTGTTGTTAATTAACTTTGAAAGCATCCCCTTGAAAGGAACTTCAGAGTGGTAGCCATGTTAGTCTCTAAGGGTACGTCTGCACTTGCTGCCTAGTTCGAGCTAGGGATGCAAATGTAGCTGACTGAAATTGCTAATGAAGCAGAGATTTAAATATCCCACGCTTCATTAGTTTAATCTCACCTGCGCGTTATTCTGCTCAACATCTGCTTCAAACCAGGAAGTGCGCTCCAGGATGCGGTAGTTCGAATCAAACCCCTTGGTTCGAACTAATGTTACTCCTCAAAAAATGAACTAGGGATCAAGTGTAGACATACCTTAACTGAAAATGTTTTAAAAACAACGAATGGTCCTGCAGCACCTTGGAGACTAACAAAAAATGTAGCCGTATCATGAGCTGTCATGGTCACAACCCACTTCTTCAGATGAATGGAGTTAAGGGGTCCAGGTTACAAAATAAATAGAAAAAGAGAGAGGATGGGGAGGGAAAAAGAAGAGAAAAAATGGGAATAAAATTGTCAGTGTCCATGCTAAAGGAGGCAGAGAGAGTGAGTTCTGAGTATTCTTATGTACCCAGTCCTTGGTTTTTTATGTCATTAGGATGTGGAATGTAGTAGGTAATCCAGTAAAGGTCTTTGTTTAAACCTACTTGTAAATGAAATTAAGTTCTGAAGCTTCCTTTTCAAGCTGGTTTTTGAAATTGGCTTGTCATAATATGGTAACTTTGAGATCCATTAAGGGACCCATTAAGCTGCAGAACTTAATTTCATTTACAAGTTTGATATCTCCCCAGTGCTGGCCCAATAGGGTTATATCTGTCCCAGTCCCCATCTCTGGCCCCTAGCTGCCCCCTGTGTTTATTCTACAATATAACTCCCTCCTGCCACACCCTTTTCTTTCTATTTTATGAGAAACAGTTGAATTCCAGGCTCATCCCATTATCCTGGCACAACCAAACCTTTACCTTACTTTAAATTAGGATAAGAGGAAGCTGCATACTTCCTAGCTCTTACCATTTAGGAGGAGCTCTTGAACAAATAGACTTACAGAAGGATGGACAGACAGAGACAGATGTACATTTCTAAAATATATAGTGTGACAGGCTCAGGTCAGAGGGTTACAAAAGAGTGTTAGAAGGAAAATATATGAGCCTTAAACTAAGTAGGTCTCTGTTCCCTGAGTAAACTGACAGAGGCTGGCCTAGAAGCAGGAGGAATTTTCCAAAAGCAGTCTGGACAATCAGGCCAGTTAGAACACCTGGAGTTAATTAGGAGCATTCCAGAGCAAAGAGAGTCATGCTCATTAGACCACCTGGGGCCAACTGGCTTAAAAGGGCTCCACTTCTGTTACTTAGGTGTCATGCAGGAAGGAGCCAAAGTGCTGAGTGAGAGGAGTTTTGGCGAGAGCTGGAAGCTGCAAGGCAGGAAGAGAGTGTAGGATGAACAGGTGCCAGAGGAAAAATACTGGGAGGGGTCGTTTGGGGAAGTGGCCCAGGGAAGTAGTTGCCAGACAGGGAGTAGAACAAACTCCATCTGTTGCCGCTGTCTTAGGGTCCCTGGGGTGGAACCCGGAGTAGTGGGTGGGCCCAGGTTACCCCCAGTCCTTCCCACACCACTTCAGAGTCTCTCCCTGAATAGGGAGACCGGGACTAGAGAGGGATTTTACCTCCATATTATGGACTAGCCTGTAATGAGTATGACTCAGTATGCTGTGAACCCTGCCTCCAGTAAAAAGAAAAAGAAAGAGGCCGTGTAGTGGGACACAGGGAGACTCTGAGGCTGAACATTATCCTCCAGAAGCACAGGACCCATAGGCACAGCCATGGCTTTGCCACAGTAGTAAGATTATTTGAGAGCTAGTATGTGCTAATGATATTAAAGACTGTATGGTAATACGTATGAACAAAGGCTAACCTCATTGTCTTTGAGTTTTATTAAAAAAAAAAAAATTCAAAACAAAATGTGTTTTGTCCTAGTTTCTGTTAACTACATAGCTTAAGCTACCCGAAGAACCCATTAGCCAGCTCAGTCAGTCAGTGAAATTGCAGAAAAGATAACTAGGTTTATGTGTATGTCAAGGCAATCTTGCTGTTGGACTTGTCCTATGTTAAAACCTTGTTCTCTCTTCTAATTTCTCTCTGAACCCAGCACTGTACTGCACAGGGTCAAATCCAATAGGAATGCGCCTTTTTCTTCTTCATTGTCCTTTGCATGTCTCCTGCGTGCACCAAACCTACCTTGTTTATAGATATATTAAAAATAAAATTTTATTTCCATTAGAAAGGAAAACAGTCTCTCTGGTCCATGGAGCGGACTCTAGTGAAGGCATGAGATCTGTATTTCACAGACCTGGGAAAGATGAAATTCCTCTTTCCAGTAATACTTATTTGACACCCTTGGCCCATAAAACTATAGCTATAATTTTTCAACAAAAAAATGGATGATAATCTTTTTGAAAAGTGAAAAATATATACCAAGCTCACTTTACATACAGAACTAAACTACTTGTAAATATCTGTTTTGTATATTCTTTGTCACTATTATAGCACTTCCTTACCAGAGCACCCACTATTGGCAAAGTGGAATGCAACAGCCACTCAGTCTCATTTTCTCAGCCAGGTGTCTTCTGCTCCACCTAGTCTCTAGCATCTTTATGTATAAATTACTTCTGACAGTCATTTATAGTTCTATCACTCCCAGAGCACTCAAAGTCCAGTTCTTCCCCATTCACCTAGCAAATACATGGAAGAGCTGAGAATAGATCTCACATCTCCTGAGCACCAGTCTGGAGCAGGCTTCCTGTTTATTCAAGGGATCACTGGTACTGTATTCCAAAAGAAGAGCACTTCTAAAAAATATATATATACAATTATTCTACAGTTAGGCCTCTGTTTAAAGAGACTTGATTTCCCTGTTCCAACAGCTGATTTCAGCTAGGGTTCTCTTAGTATCTGTCCAGTGATTTGAATTTCTGTGGGTTGGCGTCTTGGCATTCTCAGTTGTGGAATTATTGTCTCTAATTCAGCAGAATGCTGGTTTGGCTGCCTTTAGAGCATACTCAGAGATGTGTTTGTTGAATCAAATATTCTCTTGAGTTTTGGCAACATTTCTATTGGAGGATCTGTTTGGTGGCAGATGGAGATGGTGTATCGAACTACTCTTACTTCTGGTAATGAGTTAGAAGTCTTGTCTACTGCTAACACAGTGACTCTTTGCATGTTTAGCAGTTGTCTGAGAGCAGCCTGACTACTAGCATTGGGACCACCATGCTCCTGATAACACTTCTACAACACACACAAAATTTCTTGTCTCGCTAGCTATACGTGATGTGAGAGCCACAGCCAGGCTGGTGACATAGTAGGTGAGAAGAGTGGCAACACAGAGGCTTGAGATCAGATCCCATGGGTCTCATTGTAATTTTATTGAATACGAGCAGATTTACCCGGTGTTGCTCAAGTCCTTAACTAAATAAAGTTTTTTTTTAAAATGTACATGCTTTATGTACATGATTACATTTTTAAAAAATACAGTTATTTTTATGAAGCTAATTTTTATTTTGGATTTCTTAAAAACAAGGATGATTAAAAAAATTCCATTTGTTTTTTAGTCAATTTTTTGAAATGTGAATTCCATCAAGTGTATTTTTTTCCTTCATCCCTACAAACTCCTATCATTCACCTATCATGTTTTAACAAAAAGCATATTCTTGATTTGGTTTCCAATAACATTTTTGTCTGGTTTTTAAACCGTAAGCATTGATTTACCTGTGCCATAAGAGAGCACTACTCCAAATTTCTCCATTTTATTTCTTATCTGTAAAGTTTATTGAGAAGCAATCTTATTCCACGTTCATCCTATTTTTCTGGGTCAACTTGGATCAGTCTTTTCAACATTTGCTCACTTATGTCAATCTCGAGGATGGTATTTGATTTGGTGATTCTGTCTTTTTTTCTGTTTGGCTTTATTACAGGTTGGACCTCGCTGGTCCAGCACCTTGGGGACCTGACTGGTCCCAAACGAGGGGATTTGCTGAACCAGAGAATGTCCCTCCCCTTGTGGCTGTGCTGCCACCGGCCTAGGGCTCCTGTCCCTTCTGCTGCCTCAGCCCCCCTGGGGCTCTCTGGCTATGGAATTCTGGCCCCAGAAGTAGCAGGGTTGGAACACCACGGCCAGAGCTGCGCATCTGGGGCAGAGCTCTTCAGCTGCCTGGCTCCACAGCTGGGGCTGGAGTTCTGAGGATGGGACTGGAGCTCCGTAGCCCAAGCCAGAGTTCCCCAGCCGCTGGAGCCAGAACGCAGCCAGAGGTCCATGGCCAGGGATGAGGCCAGAGCTCCCTGGCTGTTGCTGGGGTCGGAACTCCCTGTCTGGGGCTGGAGGTCCACAGTCACAGCCACGCTAGAGCTCTCTAGCCACTGGGGCCAGAACTCCCTGCCATGCCGTCCGTCCTCCCCTCCTCCCAACACACACACACAC